GCTCCTCTCCTAAGCCTCGAGACAGAGGCGTGGAAGGCAGTGCGCAGCCTCGAGGAGCGGCTGAAGGGCCTGAAGAAGGGTGCTGTGGGCGATCGTGCAGAGTTCTGTACAACTCAGGTGGAAGAAGCAATGGGCTTTGCTACTGGCCGTTACTTTGTCAATGAGACATTTGCTGGCGACTCCAAGGAAAAGGGCACGAGAATAATCAATGGTCAGTGCGCGCTCCGTGTGCTGAGAACGTGCGAAGCTCATTGGCATATGATAGACATTCAAAAGCTCACTGTCACATATCAGATGGATGGACGAAAAAAGTGCTCATGCCGCGGCGGAGAAGGTACTTATTGCAATTACACTACTCAAGCCACTGACAACCATAACGTTCGCGTAGGCTGACGCGCTCCGCGTGAAAGTGGGCTATCCGCTCTCCCCGAATACTGAGGACCCTCGATCGATCGCCGTCTACTATGATCGCGTCACAGTGCACGAAGGTCGCTTCTTCGACAGTATAATTACCACAAGGTCTGTTCTTCACCTTGCATTGACATCAGTCTCAGCATTGAACATTAGATTCTGTAGAGCGAACGATGAATACTGGAAGTGGCAGAAGCTCGGCAAACAACGAGATCCCGAGACGTGGGAGATGTTTGCATCTACGGTCAATGCTTACTACAACCCTCCTGCCAACGAGGTTTGTACAACGGGCGTTGAGCTGGCCAATTCGTTGTTACTGAATATAAGTGTATTAGATCGTGTTCCCAGCAGGAATTCTTCAGCCTCCTTTCTTCTCTCAAGCTTGGTGCGGACTATCGTTCGCCTATACGGTGCCTATGAATAAACAGTTATGCACACAGGCCCGGATACATGTCCTATGGCTCATTCGGGATGGTTGCTGCTCATGAGCTGACGGTCTGTCTTATTCATCAGCGCACCGTGATGTCGTACTCATGCGGTTCCGCTCGCTAGCATGCCTTCGACTCTGCTGGCAGGCTCTATAACCAGCAGGGTAAGCTTGAGGAGTGGTGAACGAACGCTACAAGCGAGGGCTTCCGGAAGAGACAAGAGTGTATTGTCAAGCAGTATTCTGGTCCGTATCCTAGCCAATCGGTGACGCCAGTGAGTGTTGTTAACGCTTTTCTCGTTATCTAGAATACACCATCGATGACGGCAAAGGCGGGAAGATCCATATCAATGTAAGTATACCCATTTACAACAAAAATCCACGGTACTAAACGCTATTAATCCAGGGCAACCTGTACGTATGGGGCGCACCAGAGCTGACAGAGGACTCATTGGCACACTCTCAGGACATCTGGTGAGAACATTGGCGACACGGGTATCATCCAGGCCTATCGGGCGTGGAAGGTGCAGTACGACTTCGGGCTGGAGAAGGGCACTGAGCAGCTGCTACCTGGATTGAATTTCACTAGGCGAGCAGATACTCGTCCTGGCATTGAGAAAGGCAGGCTCATGGAAATACGTCACATTCAGGGAGCAACTGTACTTTGGTTCCTTCGCTAGGGGTTGGGCGCGGAATATCAAAACAGAATCTGCTGTGAGTAGATGGCGTCTCGTCGTGCCAACTTTGCAGCACTAATCGTGTCGTGCCATCAGGTTGCTCGTATACGCACAGATCCTCATTCATCCAATCAGTACCGAGTAGATGGCACCGTGTACAACGTTCCTGAATTTGCAGAAGCGTTCAAGTGTTCTGCGAGCGCAAAGGTATGTAGACGACCGTTGACAAACCTTACAGAGCTGACAGAATTTTGCGTTAGCTGAACCCGCCGCAGGAGAAGAGATGCTTGTTCTGGTGAGGGAGGATTCCCGCCGCTTTCTGTTGTCGAGTTATTTTGTACTACTCCTGTATCTATTGCCATAACATCGTACGGGCTATGCACGAGCAACTGTGCAGCGTGAATTTCGCAGCACGTGGCCTCCGATCGTCTGCGGGCCGCATGCGCGAAATCTGCGACGACTTCACCTTCAGACTGCCGGCATGCTTGCTTCACGCGTCCTGCGACACTAGAAATTGGAGAGCTATTGGCACTCCCAGTCCACTCGCTATGCATCGAGCACAACACCGCCTGTGTGTCAGGTGGTCCGTCCGCGCGGTGTCCACTGGTGCCAATGTATGTATCCATGTCTCATTCCTCCCGCTTGTCTCATCGATTGTCAGCCTAGACCGCTAGGTAAATGGGAGCTACCGCGAGCTGTATCTGAGAACCAGGATCAGTCGTCAAGCTCTTCCGCCCCACGTCCCACAGTACCGCAAGGCCGGTCATGGTCGCGACCTACACCACCAGAGACCCCTGCGGGGATTGGACCAACTATCGGGTACATCAAGCAAGCCGGATAGGTGGGCGCAGCAGAAGTCCCGTCAACCGCCCCGCGAAACGTCTACATTTCCGATATCCCGCTTTCAGCGAAGTCCACCACCGCATCGAGAAGAAGCACCACGTCGGGATTGGGCACCACATAAAGACGGAGGTGCTCGTAAGGATGCTGCGCCTTACCGGGATAACGGACGCCGCCGTGAGGGGCCTCCTCATCGGGAGGCAGCACCTCACAAAGCAGACTCACATTCTTTTGGACTGAGTTCTACACGAACGCGGGGTGTTGCCAAGACTGACTCATACAGACGTCCTGGAGCTTCGTCACTTGAGCAGATCTGAGGAAGGATCGCATCGTCGCGGAATTGGAGGCACCACAGGAGGAGGAAGAGGGCGAAGATGAAGAGTTGACGGAAAGGGATGAAACTATCCGAGCGAGCGGATCCATTGAAGCGGTGGAGGAAAGCGCAAGTGATGTTATGGCTGATGAGCTCGCTTTTCGTAGCCGAGGACGTGATCCAAAACAGTTACGTCAAGACCACAAGGAGAGGGGTTCTATTGTCGCCAGACTGAGAGCCGAGAATGACCTCACAATACCCAACAAGCACCGTGGCTCATATAAAGTGACAAGCATGCAGGCGACGAAAGCGAAGGAGAAGAAAGCGAAAGCTGCCAAGGATCTGAAGCCCGCAAATGTCGACGTCTTCATTCCCAGCGTCGTGTCTGTTGGAACTTTAGCCAAGTTGCTCAACATCACGTTCGGTGTGTAATAATCCAAATGCTCCTGAGGATCTTGAGCTTACCGCGTGTTTCTAGACAACCTTCTACGTACGATGATCAAAGTCAAAGTTGGCATCGGTGCTGAAGCTTCTCATGATCACAGTATGCATTTTACCTGCATTCTGACCGTCAGCTTTTAGGGACTTTCAGTTCTGACGTCTGAGTATGCATCTCTACTTGCATTGGAGTTCGGCCGTAATCCTGTCGTAAATGACGAAGCTGCATCTATCCTCCGTATGTGATGTCATTGTCCAGTACAACTTCTCTTCTGATGAGCTACCCTCAAGTCCTCCTCATCCAAACCCCTCCACCCTTCCACCACGACCGCCTGTAGTGACAATCATGGGTCATGTCGATCATGGCAAGACCACCTTGCTAGATAAACTTCGATCTACCTC